AACTAAGAATTGGAGAAGAGCAATAGACTCAGAAGAAGTTGTCATAGCAGTATTTTTGGATTTGAAGAGGGCATTTGAAACGATTGATAGAGATATTTTGTTAGGTAAATTGAAGGCATATGGTATAACAGGAAGTGTTTTAGATTGGTTTAGAAATTATTTGTCTAAAAGGATGCAAGTTACAAAAGTTAATGACACTATTTCATCAAAAATTGAAAATACGTTGGGTGTTCCACAGGGCAGTATCCTGGGACCACTTCTTTTTATTTTATACATAAATGATTTACCTGCCATAGCCAAAAAATGCAAAATTCAAATTTTCACTTCACTATGATTTATATAAGTACTAAAAATATTCAGTCTGGTATCTCTTATATAAATGAAGACTTGAAGCTTGTCTCAAAATGGTTAGCATCTAACAGACTAAAATTAAATGCAAGTAAAACGAAAGCCTTGTTAATCGGAAAAAAACAATGTAGAAATGTTCAACTGAATATTGATGGTGAAGATATTGAATTCGTAGAAAATGTTAAATACCTTGGAGTTTTTGTTGACTCTCGATTAATTTTTGATATTCATTATGAAAAAGTTATAAATAAGATTAGTAGTAAAGTGGGATATTTATCGAGAGTTTCTGTATGTCTGAGTTCATATAGCAGAAAAAGTATCTATAATACCATCATTCTTCCAAATTTCTTGTACTGTTCGACTATTCTATATTTAGCAAATAATTCCATTTTTGAAAGACTGCAAATTTTACAAAATATGTGCATGAGAATAATACTAAATAAAGATAAATATACTCCAATTAGGCAAATGCTTAGCAAATTAAAATGGCTCAATGTAAAAAATTTTATCAAATATCTTGTAATGATATTCATTTATAAAGTAAAAAATAATATATTTTCATCAAGTCTAACTAATTTAACATCATCAAATGTCGACCATCATTTACATAATACCAGAAATAAAGATGACTTCCATTTAATGACCAAGAAGTATAACATATGCTACAAATCTGTATTCCATCAAGGGTTGATTGAATATAATAAATTATACTCGGAGATAAAAGACCAGAAAACTTTGACAAAATTTAAAGTAAAATTGAGAAATCACTTGTTAAATCTACAATTATAGGTTGCCCAGCATTTACATCATACACCATATGGCTTGAATTTACTAGTTCTAAGTTGTTTACAATTATTCTGTTTATGTAGCCAAATGAGCTAAATAAATCTTTCTACTACTACTACTTCTACTAGGCACAGCCAACTTCTAAAAATTATCGAGATACTGACTTTTTAACGTTATTTTATCATAAATAATTAAAAATGCATCGAACCTTAAAAATCGAAATATCTCAAAAACGGCTAACTATAACGAAAATTCAGAAGAGAGCTTTTTTATGTTGAAAAGTGCGAAGAATCAGTTTTTCTATTCAAAAAGCAAAAAATTGCACTAGGAAAAATTTTTCGGTCATTTTAATACACTACAGGTACAGAAGAGAGCGCCCTCTAGCGGCTACAGTAAAACTATGCACATGGTTCGTTTTGTCGTACCAAAAAACCCTTGTATACCAACTTTCACTGTTATACATCAAATATTGTTCGAAGTATTTAAAAAAAACTATTTTAAAAAGTAAATTTAAACACCCTGTATTTCGGAAGCCACGCATTTTTCGACCCATGTTTATATAGACTTTATGCATTAATTTTAAAAGTTCTATCGAATCTTAAAGTTATACAACAATAAACTGAAACACCCTGTATAGTACATCCTTTCGGCAACCATACAACATAACATACATGTTCACTTTCAAAACCAAACAATATTTCTGAGGCACCTATCCCATTTCTCTGATTTCTCTCGACTTTTCCAAAGATTTCGATGCCATTCATCGTGGATTGCTTTGTCTCTCGTTACAGTATTATGGCCCCGACTGTATATACTTGAATTTTTTCAAGTTGTACCTACCCGATCGCATTTAAATAGTCAGAATTTTTAGTGATATATCTGAAAGCAAAAGAAATTGTTTCAGAAGTCTCAACTCTGGTACTCTACTTTTCCTGATGTACACTTGAAATTTTCAGACTGCTTTGTCGCACTGTTCTATGGCTGCTTATGCAGATGATACTCAGTTAATCCACTACTTTAATCCGAAAAACTTATCAGTTACAAAAGAGTTAGTGAATGAAGATATACAGGCTGTTGTCAGATATGCTACTAATCACAACGTATTATGAAAATGCAGAATGCAGTAAGTGTACTTCAATGTTATTTTGTCAAAAAAATCTTATAATCACAAGATAAATATACATAAGTATACGTAAAGGCATTTCATAGTTCACAGATAAATTATACGTTTGATGAAACTTTGAAATTCCATAATTAAAACAGATATAAGGATCTTATTCAGAATTAAAAAATTTATATGCGAACAAACACGTTCTTGGTACTAATGTTAAAAAAACCTCATCCGAATTATTCGTCATGCCCACAAGACATTACTATGACATCTTATAGTTGCCTGGACAGTGTGACAAAGGTAGATCTACAGAACATGACAAATTCTTGCTAGCGATTTGTTTATATCGGCAAAGTTGCTGAATGCAGAAAAAACTGTAAATTTACACTACGTGTCACTTTTGAACATATATTAATAGTGACTTCTACACCATCTTATTTATTTGAAAAACTTGAACCTAGAAGAACACTGTTCCAAAGATCTTTCTCATATAAGGCTGTAAAATTATCTAATTAGGTGAATAATGAGATAAAAAATACGCAATATTGATATTTAAAAAGAATATTAGGCACGTGCTACTAGCAGAGTGATAAAGCTAGTTTCGCGTTTTGATTTTGTAAGAAAAGCCGGAACTATTGTTATAATCATGTATAGGTTCGGCACGTTGAATAGGAAGACACAAAATGAAGGGAACTAAAGCCAAGAGCACAGGCTGTCGTTTGATTATGTGTAAGCCTATAGTTACTATGGATGCAAATTTCAATATCGTCTTTGTCATCTCTACTAGAAACCTGACACGCTCTGTTTTTCACCATTCAACAACAGCAACTTTAGTAAGGGACTTTCAAAGAAATAAAATTAGCCAATTACCTCTACATTTACTGGGTAGCAGAAACGTACTGACTACGAAAATGTCAGAAAACTTGCACAAAGTAATCCCTTGATCTGACGCGGATCTTGGACGTACTCCTCAGAGCAAAATTCCTTCATATTTCGCTTCCATTGTAACCGTCGACTAAGAGACCACAGTGGAGATACTTCTCTTCTTTTCGTTATTCTTTTCCTCAATAGGCATTTACATGTCGATATCGATACGTCAAGAAATCTATTCGTATGACAAATAAGAAAGGTGCTTGAATAGACGTCATCAATATACCATCTGTATAGTCCAGGTAGTATCTTCGCATCTGCTGGAAAAATATTGTGATGCGGATTTTTTGCAAAATCTTATTCAAGAATGGCGACTCTGCACTTCCTATGCAACGCTGTCATCAGCTCATAAAGGATTATGTTCAGAACAACTTGGACCGTCTGAGAAAAAAAAGTTAGCTACAGACATGTATAACAAAGAAATAAAACGGATCAAGTTAATCTAACAGACTCATATAATTTAAATTTGCAGATTTACTATGTCTTTTGGTACATTCTTGGGGCTTTTTAGCATTTGGCTTCCTGAGAAAACATGTTGTCCCTCGCTCTTTAAAACGTTTTGGACAGAGTTACGCCTTCACACAAAAGCTACTTCTTGTCGATGGATGGCTCTAATGCTTCCTCTGCGGGCACATGTATGATCGAAACTATGTACATCAGGAGTGAATGACCACAGGTTCACATCCAATCGAGCAACGGAGGCCGGCTGCTACACACATGCCTCGGTAAAACGCGAAGCGTATGATCGACTCGCGAGGTTCGGGAATATGTCTTCGCAATCCAAGTTTTAAAGGAGATCTATGAAATATATATAAAAGGAGAGTAGAATTACCACAACTAAAGGCGATAAGTTTATAGTAGCACTATCAAAAAATTGAGATGTACCCTCCCTCACCCCGACAACCTTTCCACCCCCCAACCTTTCCACCCCCCAATTTTTCACCCCTTCGTTTTTTTTCAAAAATGATCAGTATCCTCTGAAATGTCAAAATCGTAGTTTGAGAATTTTTATTTTTTACTTTTTTGTCCCTAGCTCTACCTCCACTGGAAGTTTTAGGGATAAGTGTACGGGGAAATCTATGGTGAGCATAATAGGTGGACAGAATTACCACGGCTGAAGGCGTATAAGTATAATACTGACAAAAATGAGATATGCTCTCGCCCACTTCCCTACAAACTCCCACCTTCCATTTTTTACGTCTCAAATTCCGCCGCCATCAGACTGTTTTTGAAAAACTGTAAAGCATTTTCTTTTTTGATGGAAATCAGTGTCACGGTTTTTCGTGATGCAAATATCATATAACACCCAAAAGCATAATATCTCATTTTAGAAATTCTTCGCGATTACAATACATCCACGCCAGTGACGTAGGAGGCACAAACGGCGTTTTTAACGAATCTGTATTTTATCAGGCTCAATAATGATTTGAGATTTTGGTAATGGGTGTTTGACAAATATTTGTGAACATTGACAACAATAAGATTTTCGTTATTTCATATTATTGTTTTTCGAGGTAAAAAATGGCATGTTTTCCACTTTTCAAAATACTAAATCGCCTATATCTCGAAAGCTATCAACTTTAGAGAATGAGAGCACCTTTTTGTTTACAATGTCCTAAGAAACTTAAAAACACTTTCTCCGAAGTGACGTAACCACAATTTTTGAAATTTACTTTAAAAATGTTCATACAATTTTAGACTCGATTTTGGGCCTGGCAGATTCGCGAGAAAGCTTACTTTTCGAATAAGGACATCAAAAAACCATAATATTTTTCCGAACGGATGCGAAGATACTACCTGTGCTAGTATCAACAATTGTTTTCAGGAATGGAGAACGTCATGAGAAAGTTCTTCATCAAGCACCTGGAGATCCACGTCACAGTATATAAGCCAATCATACGCGACATATTCATACCGTCCGTCCTCAACAGAGTCTTGAATGTATACTTCCATCAAGAGACCTTCTGCATACTCAACTACGAAGACCAATGGGTAACCATAATCTTCAAATCAGGCTTGTTCTTCCTGTTTGACCCCCATGACAGGGACATAGAAGGCAAAGCACCAAAGAAGGACAACAATGAAGTCAGTGCTGTAGTGTTAAGATCTAACAGCCTTGTTAATATTTCGGACAGGATCATCGACAACTTTGTGACTGGAGAAGAGGAAAAAGGACAGAAGATGTTCACGTTATGGTTGATTTCTGTTGAAATACAGTAAAGTTGCAAGCTTTAAGCGCGTCCTCGTTTGGTGCTAGCAGTATATGTGTAACAATGTAGTCGATAAATATGAACGTCCAAGGCAAGACTGGAAATGTAAGAGAAACAGTGCTAATATGACATGGGTTTGTATGGAGGGTTTCTAGAGCAGCGCATGGTGTGCGCAGTCTCATATATAGGCCGTTAAATAATAATAAACAAATGCCACCAAAAGTCGTGTAATCACTACTCTTGCTTACTCAAGACAGCGAACATCGTGGACAAGGTCCTCGCCGTCCACTCTTCAATTTCAATCGGCGACATTTGTCGTAAACGCCACCCTCCATTCTTCAATTTTCAGTTCTCAGGAACAAATGAATGGTGAATAGCCAGGAAAATTGAAGCCCCTGCTAACTTTGGGTCCCTATTTTGGCTCTTCAGAAACATTCCTGAAATTTTGTCAAAAGTTGCTTCTTATGATGATCTTGACTACCTTGAATGTTGAAGGTTAAAATAATTTGCATCCAACGTCATAGCTACATATGATATTTTCGATTCTATTTCTGAGATCGAGCACCGTTAAAGAAAATTGTCTGACATCGATATAGCCATGATCATAGAGCTCAATGCGTGAAAAACATTGAACCAGCTAATGCCATTGGATGTTTATTTTGGCTTTACCCTCAGAATGATCCTGGAAGTACTTTCAAATTTTACGATGACCTTGACCAGGACATTCAAGTTCAAAATAGTTTTCACTAAAGATCACGTCTAACCGTAAAATTTTTTGCAATATGGTGTCGGGGTTAAAAGCAAAGGTTCATATTCAAAATATTGTCATCTCCTTGATTTGACCCTCAGGATCATGCTCAATTTCAAATTCAAGGTGACCACAGAATAGCCAGAAAAAGATACTAAGCCTCTGCCAATTTAGTTTTATTATACCAGGTGAATATTCTCAAATGTCTTGCCGTTCCGGGACTTTTAGATCACCCTACATACATGTCTTGCAGTAGCAGATCTGTGAGTCCTAGAGCACAAAGTCCGTATAAGGTGACTCTGTAGTTGAAAAACGCTGGAACGCCATTACCTTGGAAGTCCCATAAGTGCCCCCCTTTGATTCCACGGTCTCGGTAGCTGGTAACTTCAAACATTGTCGCAGAGTAATGTATTCAAATTTTAAAATAGTAGAAAATTGAACCCTAAAAGCTATAGAACCAGGGACAAGTACCCTTCCTTAAGGAGTTTTTATTAATTAACTGATATAACACTAGTGGCGAGAGCCTCCGCTATTAACTATCTAGCCATATTGAGTTCCATGAATACGGAATTGATCATTAAAAGTACATAAATATGGTGATAGTAGTAGCATAATTCATACAAATCAAAATATTTTTAAAACTATTTACTCGTGATAGACAGCTGAGAATTAATGGAAAGATAAATTGGGTACTTACGTAATTCTCATATGATTGCAGAGGAGTATGTTAAACGGTAAGACCAAAGAAATGCGAATTTTAGAATGGGCTTAGGGAAATACACATCATTGTTTAAAGTATCATACCTGAAGATAGCTTTCCATATTCCGGTGTATCGAAAGAGGTACCTGAAAGATACTAGCGCCATCTACGAGACGGTAGTAAGATGCAAAATGAATTTAGAAATCTACCTTGGACTTAGAGCCTTTGTTTCTGCTCTTGTTTCATAGATCGGGTTAGAAACCTCAATGCATTTTTGCGCGTCTTCAATGTCTACTTCAATTGGGTATCTTCAGGCATAGATTATAGTAAAATAGGCATTAGGAAGTGGCCAAAAAGGGATTGAAGATCCAGGTGCCATCTATGAGACGATGCCAGAAACAAATCTTTACAAGTGGATTTCTAAATTCACTTTTGTGTTCTGCTATTGGCGCTAGCATCTTTCAGATCCCTTTTAGCTCGCCGCAAAATAAACTAAACCTTTTTATCCAGTCGTCCAAAGGGTATGTTTTCGCCCGAATTATATTTGTTGTCAACCACAGACAGATGTCCGATCAATCCTGCATAACATTTTATATACAATGTAGTATCGTACATTACATCAGAATTGTTATAATTTACCCTCCCCCTCTCCGCCTTAGAAAATTTCCTACTCCCGCTCTTGAAAAACTTTCGGATGCTGATATGCTCTTGAAAAACTTTCGGAAGCTGATACATTTTCACGTTATACAAAATACAAAATGCTCTTCATGATATTTGAGGTCTCCCTGAAAAATATTTCCGTGAGCACCCATGCGATTGTATAATGCACTTTGCTACATTGTGTTTGATGGTACCTGTATGATTATTCGGGCACCTTCGTACGGTATGTGACAAATATAGTTTCCAGTTAACGGCTGCCCTCAAGCCAGTACAGCTCATCATACTTGTATGTCGACTCATGGAAGGTTTCCCAGCACTATTACGAAATATGTAGTGACAATGACTAGTTTGTTTTTCTAAATATATTGCATTTTGTATAAAATGTTGGTTCCGTTTACACATCAACCAGTAAACAGTATGAAAAAACAAAAATGCATGCGCAATTCCACTCTTATCGGCGTGATATGTCTAGATCTAGAACTATGTTATGTGGTTATGTAACCAAAACTGGAGTCGTAGTTTTTCGATAAAAATAAATCTCGTGAGAAATATATTCTTATCTTTATCACAACCAATATTACGTATACTTTGAACCCCATCCCAGAAAGTGGTATGCTTTTCAATTGTGACACAATATTTTTGCAACAGTAACTTGCATGGTTGGCGAGACAAATATTTTGACATTTCAAACAGGTATCTGTAAACAAAGTATGATGTCCGTCAAATCGTTGCAGGCACTATAAGGAAGTATTATGAAAGCAAACAGAAACATATCTTATTGTACCCAGATATTGCTGTGAGGGGGCTTCATGTCGTATGGAGACCTTTAGAAACCATTGTGCTTAGAAATACAGGTGCCTATATAAAGTTGAATTGGGAATGCCATTCTAATTTCACAATAGGGTAGAACTAAAATTGTTTGAAGAAAGAAAAAATATGTTTTATTCTCCAAATTTACGGGAGTAGGTCATGAAAACTTTTATTTTTTGGATGTTATGTACATCGCGAAAAACCATGTCACTCATTCCCGTCGCTCTGTCTCTCTGTTGGTCTGTCTGCTAATCCTTGACTTGTCTATAACTTTTAAAGTACTGGATTTGGATGAAATTTTCGCAAAAGGTCCCACTTCCAACCTCGATAATCCTATACTATATTTCTATTGGACATATTTCACACGTCACAGATTTCCCTATACATTTGTCTTTAAAACTTAGAATGATAGTGGAATGCTGTCGACACCCGTCCCTGCTTCCATTTTCTGGGTTAACCACTAGATGTGCCGATCTTGATAGGTGACCAGGAATTAGTGCCTTTGTAGCGCGCTGCCGCGTGGCGTACAATGTATGGTGCTGTCAGGTATCCGGGAGAGGCGACCTTGCCAGAAGGACGGTACCACTATGGACGAATTATATTGGACTGTTTGCCTGATTTGATCAGTGTGATTTTTCTGTTGTACATTTCCGTAACTAACTTTTTCCTCAAGGTATCTAACTTGTGCTGATCATAACTCTTTATGAACAGATGACGACGTTGCGTGAAAAATGCCGAGGCAACTTACTTGACGCCATTTTTTCTGGGTTTTATGGTTTGCATTTGTGCCTAATTGACGGTGCTTTTCTTAGTTAAAATTTATAATAGATCTTAACAGCACTCCTGAGTTTCCCTAGTTGCGCCTACCTTTATGATATATTACTCTGTTTGGAGACTGCATTGATAATAACAAATTAGTTGCATAATTATACACTTAGTACATAAGAGTAATGATAAAAGTGTATCACGCTATTGAAATCTCCTTGACGACATAGCAAAGGTCAGGCAGTGTATCTGGAGAGGCACTATTTAAGTCAGCTTCCTTATTCTAGTCATTACATTTTTGCTTGTAGAAGGTTATGTACGGGAGTTATTATTGATTTGATGTGTGTTATTTTTCTGAGCGCACGTCAATTTGAGATGCTTTATATCTAGGTATATCGCTTGTGTGCAAACAACGAGTGAAGAAAATGGTACCATTAAATAAACAATCAAAGCATTCATTTAGATAAACCTAAACTGATTAAGAATGCTTCATAAATCTACCGGTTTGAAAGTTCCTAGATTCCAGTTGCTGTAAAGGACATCGGGCGTAAAGTAGATGTCTATCTTAATAGGATTTTCCATAGAAGAGCTGCTGCATACAAGTAATTCTGTACTAAACAATTTTTGAGTTGACCACTTTTTCCTTGGCAACCAATCATTTACCGAGATGTAGGTTAAATGTTATGGTAGCAGATCACATTTCTTTGTGCGATGGTTAAGACCCAATCAACCGAACACTCACATTTTTTAACCGGAATTAGACTTGGCAAAAACGATAAAATACTGCAAAGTCAGTACTCGAATCACTTTGAATACGGCACAATAGAGAAAATCGCCTTGTCTCTGCGAGATATGCACCACTCCGTAGCCAGGATTCTCAAGTGGTACCACTTGAGCAGCATTTTTCAAAAGTGAGATATTAGTGAGTATTTTCTCCGTGATGAGTTTTATTCCGCTACAGCAAACTCCAGCGGTCGGAATAAAGACGGATGGTGCACCATGTTTTCGTCGCATTTCCAGATATCCTGGAAAATTTCCCGGATAATGTGGGCAATGTAATTCGACGGATTTTGACTCGACACGTAAATAGTCTTAGCTACAAACAAAAGTCGAATTGTGACTGAAAAACTGCTAGAAGCGACCCAGTAGAACAAAATATAAAAACCACAAATTTGCGACTTCGGGATATAGAACACTGTATATCGTCCCCTCTTCCAGCACTGCTTGGGCATCACTTCTTAAATAAAAGGTATTGATGAGTACTCCCTCCATGCCACGCCTGCTTCCGATAAAAAAAGGTCAGTGTCGGAACCCTCAATCACCACACTATTGGAAATAATGTTTTCCCATACTTCACGCTGTAGCTTTCTTAGATCGGAAGGAGTATTACGTGTCATATAGGTTTTTGTGACGCTAGGTAGGTCTTTCTACAAGATTTAACTTAGCACTAGCTTTTGTAAACCTGTTGTGTACTAGTTCGGTAGCTGTACGTGTTGCCTAAACATCACGATGCTTCAGCTATCAATATTTGGGTCTCATGCGAT